CCCCAAAACCCCAAAACCCCAAAACCCCAAAACCCCTAGGATGATTTTATAAATTGATAAAAGCAGTCATGGCAGAAGATGTCCCAGCTATACCTTGCTACAAGATAGTGTATAGATGCATACTTGTGGCTGAGATAGTTTTGATATGAATCTGAGTGGGAGGTAAGATATTGGTATGATTTACAGAGTTCATATGCTTGATGGTATACTACTCAGAAGAAATCTTCATTATTGTGATTAATCTCATGACGATATTATTGTTGAGTGTCAGAATCTTCCTTCTCGTATGGACTTACGTCAAGGCAAGATTTAGAGGGTATCTGATGTGAGCAAAAACAACTATGTTTGTGTTCATCCTCTTCCTAAACTCATTTAAAACCTTGTTGATTGCTGATATAGAAGAAGAATCTGGCTTAGGATTGTTATTTGCCAACACAATAATCATCAATTTACTGGCCTTGCTATTTGAGGTTGGATCCTATGGTATTCTATACATGAAAATAAAATATCTAATCAAAGTTCCTTCTAAAAAGGATTCAACTATTAGAACAAAGAAGAATAGCAACACTCCGTTTAAATATGATCAGCTTGTGAATACTGCAAATTCTAAAGAGCAACAAGTTTTAGAGGAAATGAGGTTTAAATAAAGTCCTTTACATCCTTAAGTGAGATAGTCATCTCTCATTTGTTGGCCAGAAGAATGAAAAACAAGATACTGGAGAGAACAACGATCAGATTGAAGATATCATAAATGATATTGTCAAGTAATCTTCTTAGCAACAGTTTATTAAAGATATGCTTAAGTCAGAATATGTCTTTTGGAATAATTTGTGTGAAATTTTGAAAATAATTTACTCATTTGGCAAGAAAATCTGTATCCTGACAATTAATAGCATCTAGAGATATTATTAAAAGGCTCATTATTAATTTAGAGAAGAACAGAAAACTGCCAGTAACATATTTTCAGACTCAGGCAGCGTTGGATCTTATGGAAGTTTAGCTAGTTTGAGGAAGCAAAGACTTCGTAACAACATTTCTAATTCTTATAGTTGAATCTGGAGAAAGCCCACAATTTGGAACTGAAGTTGTCAGAGAGGAATCAAAATTAAATTCCAGCAGCTATAGCCCTGCTAAAAATAACACTAGAGAAGAGCTCCAAAATGCATATATGAAGAATAATGGGCCTGTGAATGTGTTTGAAAAGCGCCCATCTTCATTTAGCTTTATGGGATCTGATCAATCTTCACAGACATCAGAAAGCCAAGCTAAAAACGGAGTCAGTACGTCCAGTATAGGACTTAATAGTGAAACAAGAACGACTCCTCAATTTTCAGCTTTCCCAAAAAGTATTAAGAATAAATCTAGCTTAAAGAGTTTACCGAGCTCGAGTCCATTTAGAAACACTCTTGCTCAGAAGGCAGAGATGGTTAGGATGCAGAAAAGTGGTTTCCTTGCCCAAGAATTTACTAATAATAAATGTATTTTTCCTTCTTAAAATTTAGCCGTGAAAAGAAACTCTGCAGTTTCGAAGAGACCACATATCAGTATCTCATCAATTTACACAGTTAATTCAGGAGATGAGAGCAAAGCCAGTGGTGCTTTTATGAGCTATGAGATACAATTAGCAGACCAACCTAAATCCCAAATTGTGTCATCTCTTAGTTTTAGAAATGATCCCTCTAGTAGTGATCCTCCTCTCAAAAATGATCCATCTAGTGAATCGATATGAGTGAAGAAGGAGAATAATCCTGAACATTTAGAAAATGGAAAGAGTAAATAACCATGATAATGATTTTCTACACCCTTCTCTGTTAATTTTTCACGGTTTATTAAAATTATGTCAGATTTCGAATTCTTTCCAATTCTTTGTTTATTTATAAACTAAGGCATAAAAAGCCTATGAATGGCTGATTTCTCATGGATGAAGCATTCTGATATAATGTTCCTGGATAGTTAACCTTTCTCTAACTTACCTTTTAAAGTTATGACAAAAAGTATCGCTCATATTGGTTATGGGTTTAAAATTCCACGTTGATAGAGCACATGGGGTTTTGGGGTTTTGGGGTTTTGGGGG